AACCTTGCTTGAGGCGACTTCTGGCGTGGAGGACAGGAAGGCGGGTGGGGAGGGGGTTATTGTTTGGAGGGAGAGGCCCCCTCCCTACAGGAAGCCACGACCACGTGTCACAGCAGGGAAAATGGCTGCGGGTCACGTTCGTCACCCGATGCGGAGTTCGCGAATGGAAGCAACATTTTGCGAACGGTGCTGTTCATGAACCGAAGTGTTTGTGAACAGAAGCGTTCGTGAACCGAGGTATTACTGTAAATAGTTTCTGTTCTGAAATGTTTTTGGGTAGATGGCCCAGATCAGATGCAGTACAAAAGATATACTCCAATTTAAGAGAGAGAGCAAGAGAGAAAAGACATCTTTATAGTGATGTAATTCAGTAGCTTTTCTGACAGTATGAATAGTATTATTTTAATTTGCATAATGCAGCATACTTTATAAGCAATGTTTTATTTATGTTTTATTTTAGATAATTTTATTCTGGTTTTGTTACAAGTAAATAAAAGTTAGGTACATTCATAGGCAGAAAGGCTTACCAGACAAAAAACTTCTAAACTCATAATGCTTAAAACTAGAGTACAATGCTGTCTGCGCAAGAGATTAAAATCTGCAAGATGGCCAATGGGGTATTGCAAGGCAAGCCCCATCCTTTTTGTACATGCATCAGTTTCACATGAATGTTCAAAAGGGGCAGGGCTTGCAATGCAATGCTTTGTTTGCCATTTGGCCGATACTGACATTACACACATCACATGGATGCCACTGATAATAGTGTTTAAAACATCTGGAATAACCTCCCACTGAAAATCAAGTTGATTCTAGGCCTTCTGGAGACTTTTGAAAACGGAAGTATTTTGGAGGCCTGTGATGAATGATAGAATATCCAGTGTTTGATTTTTATTAGATTTTTATTTATTGATGTTATTTGTATATTTATTGTTTTTAATTCCTACTGGGGATGTTTCAATTTGGTTAATGCTTACTCTGAATTACTGTAATCCAATGAGAGTCTGCTTTAATTATGGCTTATATAAGTTTGATAAATAGTACATTAAAATAGTCTTATATTGTTGGTCAACTGTCCTTCGGGTTTCTAAAAGGCATTACTAGCACAATTTTAAGTGTATATGTCATCATAAGAGCAAGGACCATGATGGTGGATTTTTATTGTACATATAAGAATATGAATTTTTCAGCTAATATCATTGCTGCTGGAGCTGCTCATTTTGTGGCCATCCTGCTTTCCAGCTATATAACCAAAACTGGAAGGGGGAATTAAGCAGATGTTTGCTTCTGCATGTGGCTTTGGACATCATGCAATACCATTATCAGATCTGTGTGAGGCTGTGGGGGTTCTGTCTCAGTGTTGAAGCCTGTGGGTGTCTAGATGGGGAAGGCTTCAGCTCAGCCCTATAAAAACTGAATGGCTTGGGGTTTTAGGGCCTCTTGGATTCTGTGATTTTCTATCTTTAGCCCTGGATGGGGTGGCAATACCGTAAACAGAACTGATAAACAATTTGGAGGTCTTCCTGGATGTACGGTTCTTGTCTGAGGAACAGGTGGCAGCTCTGGCCAGGAGGGCTTTTATACAACTTCACTATGTGTGCCAATTGCTTACTTTCCTGGATTGGGAGATACTGCTCATGGCCACTCATGCTTTGGTCACTACCCAAATAGACTGTTGCTATGTGCTGCCCTAGAAGAACATCCAGAAGCTGCAACTGGCCAGAATGTGGCAACACAGGCAGTCATGGGCATACCTGAGTACATCCATGTTGTACCTTTGCTTTATGAGCTGCATTGGCTCCCAATATGTTTAGGGTGCAATTCAAGGTCTGGTTGTCACCTAAAAAGCCCTTCATGGCATGGGGCCAGATTATTCATGGGACTACCTTTGTCTCTAGATTGTTTCTACCCACCCCATCAGGTCCAACAGGAGGGGCATGTTCCAGATAATGTTGATTAAAGAACATCATTAGGCAGGACTGAGGAAACAGGTCTTTTGTTTCAGAGTGCCTGCCATTTGGAACATTATACACCCTGAGATTAGGTTGGCCCTGACCTTGCTGGCTTTTCAGAAAGCTTTAAAGACCTGGATGTTTTCCCGGGCATGGTGGTCAGAAAGTTACAGCAACTATCATGAGACAGGTCTACTCTATAATCATGAGCCAGCTTAACTATCAAGTAACTGTAATTCTGTGATTACTAGATGTGTTGTCCAACTAAAATATTTTCCCACACATTAGCTAAACTACAATTCTCAAAGATTTTAGGGGACCCACATTTATTTCAAAAGTTATACAAACAAGGTTTAGACTAAACATTTGGGTGCTGTCAAGCCTAATCCTAGCACATCTATGTTAGAAATAGGTGTCACTGAACTGAACCAGCATACCTGGTTTGCAGTCATAGGTTTGCAGCTTAGGTTTGTTTCTGTGCCAATTATAATTTTCAGTAATTATAGGCATCCCCATATTTTTCCCTATTGTCAATTTCATGTGTTTTTTCCCCCTTCCCTTTAGATATCCTCCAAGATCTTATGGCATCTTCTGCGGAACTATCTCCGAGGCAGCTTGCGGACTCTGAAGCTGCGAGGATCCCTCCTGTCCTTTCGGAAGCAAGTACTTACCTCAGCACTGATGCAGGCTTTGGGCAAACAATGTCCCAAACTCCACCAGTTGAGCTTGATGGAGACAGACCTCTGTTCACTCCAGTATGACTGTATGCCCTCCTCTCTTACCACCCTGGAGCTGAGATACTGCGAGATCCCTTTTGTGTGGTTCCAAGTGCCAGAGACCTCCAAGATCTGCACTTTCCCAAGAATCCAAGAACTTGCAATCTGGAATGTCCCTTCTTTTTCCAACCAGCACCTATTCAGTATCGCCACCCAGGGCACTCTCAAGACTCTTATCCTTTCAGAAGTGTACCGTGTAACAGATGTGGGGATCCAGACAGTAGCACCACATCTGAAAGACCTTGAGCACCTTGCCTTGCTCCAGTGTAGCACTGGTGATTCAGCCATGCACTTCATTGGGCGCCACATGAAGCAACTGCACCACTTAGATCTCAGGAGCAATTCTTTGACAGATGTAGGTCTTCTTTGCTTAAGTGGTTTGCCAATCTTAGAGGGCCTTTGTTTGAGAGACTGCAGCCAACTTTCTCCAGAAACCATTTTAATTGTTTGCCAGTCACTCCCCAGCCTGAAGCATCTTGATTTAAGTAGGATAGACTTTGAAGACAAAATGCTCCAAAAGATCCAGATGGGTTTGCCAAGCTGCATAGTGGCAAACACCATCTCTTGCACAGATTCCAGTGTAATATCTTAGACAATAGCAAATTTTCCCCATGAATGTTATTCAGAGGTCAAAAGATGGCAGCTCAGGGATACATCTCAGCAGCTTTTTATCCTTACAGCCCAAATGTTTGTAGTAGGCTAAAAATGGAACAGATCAGACAAAACAAGTATCACATCTCAAAGGCCATTAGTTTAATTGTTGTGCAAATTATATGGCCAATGTTTGTACTGCAAATGTCCTGCTTTTGACATAATTCAAGCATAAAGAATCCAGTGCCTTCCAAATTTTTGATATACCCCCCTCCAACTCCCATCAGTTCCAGCTAGTACAGCCAGCTGTGAACCGTAATGATAAATGTATCCAAAAATACCAGGAGGGTCCTAAGTTCTAAACTGTGGCATAGAAAGTGAGTAGGAGAGATTAACTATTAAAAGAATGTGTGTACTGCAGGCATAAGATGTTATTGGACACGTACCATTTTAAAAGCACTGAGCAAATCTCTGAACATCTAAACTAGGATACAGCCTCTATTCTGATAGAGTCCATTCCTCCTCCTGGATGACTCAAAGAGTTGATATCTTTTAACAAGCACAAAAGTTATATCTACAAAATTGGTGCATGACTGCCAAGACTGCCCACATTTTATTGTTTTTAAACACCAGCCTATTTACCTGAAATCTGGCACAAGAAGTTTGGGTTTTTAAAAATAAATTATCTGAAGTTTGTATTCCACATTATTTTTTCCATAAATTCGGACATGGATTAGCTTCCAGACAGGAGTTATGTTATGGATATCCCATCAAATGCTCCATAAAAAGGGTATACATGTAGTACCTGACGTCTCAAGTGCATGCAGAAGTCTTGGGAGCAACCTGTAGAGCCCACTCTAAAAGTTGGAATGTGTGGTTAGGCTTAAGGTGACAGAATGGAAAAGTTATTCAATACTTAGGAAGTAATGAAATTGTGTTGAATTATCTTTAAATTTAGATTTAATTTCTGTTCTGGTCCCTTGGTCTCACCTACCTTTTGGGATACAGCCTGGGCATTTCACTCAAAAGCCAAATGTGATCCTCAGATTAAAGAAAAAGTGGACCCTTGTACTATCTGACCTGAAATTAGAACAAATAGAGTGAGCCATCATTTTATATTAACTATATTTGCTGTATTACCCATGAAATGCCTTTTGTTTTCCCATCTTGCATTTTCTTTGTTCCCAACCACCTTTGCAGCATTGTAGTACTGATCCAGCTTCCCCATTTCAGTAGCTTGGCTTTCATTAGTGTTACTGCCAGCAGATGATAGAAACAGCCAACAGCCTTTGGCTGTTGTGGACAGTGCCTGGAACACATTGAGCCAAGCAGAGGTGGAAAAATTCATAGAGATACCACCAGAACTCTTATTTCCTGCATTTCTTAACCCTTTTCTCCCATTAAAATCTATGAGTAGCTATAATCTTGTCCAACGATTTCATGCAATAACTGATGCTATACTATTCTGTTCTTGTAGTTCTTGAATGGTGATGGGAACCACAGATACAGTTGGGTTTTCTTACATCTCCTTCTAGATTCCAGCTTTCATTTTGAACACATTAAACTATGCATTCATAAGCTTACTGAACAGAATGAATCCCCAAATCTTCACATTAGTTGTATCATGCTTGTACCATATTCACACTGTCTTTGCCTTTCTTCATTCTTTCTTTTCACTGCTGACTGCTGTGTCACTAACTTTTAAAAAATAAAGTCCTTCAAGTTGAACTGGACTCCTAGTGATTTCATGGACATGTCCATATAGGGTGTTGGTTTTAGTTTTGCTTAAGGCACCAGGCTAGAAAGCTGGAGACTATGAGTTCTAGTCCCTCCTTAGGCATGAAAGCTGGCTGGGTGACTTTGGGCCAGTCTCTCTCTCTCTCAGCCCAACTCACCTCACAGGGGTGTTGTTGTGGGGAAAATAGAGGAGGAAGGAGTATTAGGTATGTTCGCCGCCTTGAGTTATTTGTAAAAATAATAAAGGCAGGATAAAAAAATCTAAAAAATATATAGAATTGGTTATGTCAGTGCCTTCTGGCATATATTCTCAACTAACCAATCTAGCCTATAATCCTATGTTTCCCTGGTAGTCTCCCATCCAAATCCTAATGCTGCCAACTAGCTGAGCCTGAATCCTACATTCTCATAAAAAGTTCTTGACCCCTTCTGGTCATGTTTGTAGCAGTAAACTTTGCTCAGTTTCTGGATCCACCTGCAGCTGAGTAAAATAAACACGCACAGACATATCTGTTTATCTAGTTAACATGTCTATGGGACCCTGAGTGTTTATTATCTTGAGAAGCTGTTGTCTATGATGCTTGGATGCTTGCTTAAGTCACATTTCGTTCTTGGGAAACTATATGGCCGGTTTGAAACACTGTTTTAAAATTATTTAGTTACATTTATTGAGAGTTTTACATACAGTAAAAGTCAAATCTAAAGAAAAAAGAAGAAAAAGATGTAAGAAAAAAAGTAAAGAAACTAAGTTATGAAATATGATGACTTCTGACCTTCAACAGATAATTACAATCGTATAATTGTATATTTGTATAACCTCCCTCTTAGATGTTATACAAACCCCTTCAACTCCTCACTTAGTCCACATCTTTTTTAATCCTCAAACCCATTATATCATGCTTTTCGTCTTTCAGTAAAAAGTCTATATAAGGTTTCCAGTCTTTCAGAAAAGTTTTTGTTGTTTTTTCTCTGACCAAACAGGTCAACTTTGTCATCTCAGCAAGTTCTGACATTTTCACAATCCATTCCTCCACTGTGGGAATTTCATTATTCTTCCATCGTTGAGCATACAATAGTCTTGCTGCAGTTACCATGTAGAAAATCAATCTGCCATGAGTCTTCTAGTTCATTGTCCATAAGCCCCAATAAAAAAAGTTCTGGTGTCTCCACAATATTTATCTTTAAAATCCTTTGCATCATCATGTGAATTTGTATTCAAAATTTCTTAGCTTTCTCACAAGTCCACCATGCATGGTAAAATGTTTTTCACATTTCCAACACTGGTTTGAAATACCTTTGTACATTTTTTAATAATATTTATTACTTTGTAATTAACAGAAAAAGAAAAACAAAACACAAAAATAAAAGTGATAAAAATACAACAAAGAAAATAAGAAAACTTAGCATAATATTTATTTATTTATTTATTTATTTATTTATTTATTATTAAATTTCTCCCCCGCCCATCTCCCCCCAATGGGGGACTCTGGACAACTCACACAAAACATTAAAACCATAAATACATATAAATACATAAAACATCAAAATTTTAAA